AGTAGTAGTAGTAGTATGAGTAGTAGCAGTGGTAGTAGTAGTAGTAGTAGTAGTAGTAGTAGTAGTAGTGGTATTTCTGCTTCGACTGCTGCTACTACAGTCAAACTCCTGCATAAGAACCCCAGCCCGCGAGAGTAGCCTACCCTAAGGTTCTTATTTTCCATTAACTTTGGTTTGAGTAGTTATACAGTTATACATGCATTGGCCACCAACCGCCAAAAGAAGAACCCTATCCGCTCAAGCCGAGCCACAATGAAACCACTTCCGCCCGACAAAGAAGAAGAACCTGATCCCGAAAGCTAAGGTACCCTGAGGTCTTCAATTTTGAAGCAACCTGAATTTTGTGAATACAGCGAGGGGCAGGGGCTAAGGTTCTTAAACAGTGGGTTTTTAAAAAGGACGTTCACTGTACTATGAGTAGCATTACACGCCATCAATCATAAGACTAGTATTTTTAAATCATCCCACTCCTCTTCCTCATCCTCATCCTCATCATCGCCGTCGTACTCATCATCGGCACCGTCATCATCACGGAAAGCGTCATATCGCAAGTACGCAAAAGCAGGCACAAACCGGGGAACAATAAAATAACTGTGGAAGCAGATCCTAGCACCGATAGGTCTTGATCGTGTGTGCGCATGAGCTGCGTGCCGACGCACTTTGAGGCCTTGAACCAATCCTGGCGATTGGCAGGTAGAAGGTGAAGCCTGCTGTTTCCTCGTGCGTGAGGGATTCATAACAACCAGAACGAGACCATAAACAGGCAATGGGAGTTAAGAGCAAGTGTACGCACAATTTGCATCAATACAGTCGTAGTCCTTGGAGTGGTAGCTACAACAGCAGCAGCGCAGCAGTAGACTCAACACCCTGAAATGCCAGGCAGTGCCGGCTGGGACCAAGATGGCCATTGTTGGGCCGTCGGGCTTTGCGCTCAGATGTCTCTTACCTCTTCCAGGGAAGCTTTCGTGGCAGTTTGAAGGATCTGGAAAGAGCACGTTGCTGCGCTTGATTTACCGATTTGCAGATCCACAGCAAGGGCAGGCCACACCGGGGCAGCCTCGACCATGACCGTCAGGGCGGACAGAGCATGCTTCACGAAAACTAATGCTGACCTGACAGGTGTTGATGGATGGTCAGGATCTCAAACTGCTCGATCCACTCACCTTCCGACGTCACCTGGGGATAGTTCCGCAGGCGGGGCTTGACGCAAATGTTTGGTTGCTGAGTTGCTGTCCGTTTTCTAAGTCCGTGGTTTGGCAGGACTGCTCCTTGTTCAATGACACGATCAGCTACGAGCTTATCTCTAAACTGTGGGCAGGATCAACACGCAGCCATGAACAGCTGAAGGCTTACAGTTCATTACTGCCAGGTTTCAACATCCGCTACGGGAGGCCCGAAGCTACAGATGCCGAGGCTGTGCCTTCTGTGGCATATACGGATACACATCCATATGCATGTGCTCTACATGTCCTGGTTTAAATAGTGTCTAGTGTCTTTATGTCTTCGTGTATGTATGCATGCATGCATGCATGCATGTATGTATGTATGTATGTATGTATGTACGTATGTACATACGGTAGTACATACGTATTGTTTGTCTCTGCAGGCATGTACCTGTGGACGTATGTATGTGTCTAGGATTCTGGGCATTTAGGTATGTATGTATGTATGTATGTATGTATGCATGCATGTATGTACGTATGCATGTATGTATGTATGTATGTATGTATGTATGTATGTATGTACGTCCGCATGTCTGTCTGTCTGTCCGTCTGTCTGTCTGTCGGTCAGTCTGCCTGTCTGCCTGCCTTGTGAAACAACCGCAACACGTGCGCACACATGAAGTGTTTACTCTGTCTGCTGCCTGCCTGGCTGTCTGCATGTCTTTCCATCTACTTGTATGTGTCTTTCCCCCGGCCAGGCTGTTCCTTTGCCCATTCATGTCAACCAGCCGATCTTTTGCGAAAGGCGTATAGTGCGTGACATTCATTCCTTCGTGCGACTTGCTGTGCATGATATATTTCTAGCGTGTTTGGCGCACGTCGAAGAACTTTGAATTCCCCTTGCTATGTTCGTTGTTACGTATCTCACGTTGACATTCTACTGCGCTGTGTAAGATGTCTAGTACGTATACTTGCCTAAGCATTTATGTACCAATGTACCATTGCATGGTGCACTTCTCCGAACATCCGCTCTGTCATTTGCCTTTAGCAGGTCGAACGGGCTGCAGATCTTGCGCAGATCCATCAGCAGATTCGATCTCTGCCTGAAGGCCCCGAGCAGTAAGAAGCAGCATCTGCAAAAAGATCCTCCTCAACGCAGAGATGTTCAACTGCTTTCTCAAAGCCCCCGCTCGAGAAGAAGACACTGCGCGGACAGGCTTCGGAACACCCGTCGGGGAGCGTGGCATGAAATTGAGCGGCGGGGAGCACGGGGCTCAGACGCTTCTCAACTGAAGCTATCAAGCGAAGTGAGGCAATGTTGCGGGGTGCGGCCAGGCGGCAACGAATTGGTATTGCACGATGCTTGTTGGCGGACCCGTGTGACACCCAGACTCCATCGCGTTTCAGCAACTTCTTGGATGCACTGTATGATAACGAAATCCGCTGTTGCCAGGTCTATTGTGCTGCTGGACGAGGCAACTTCTGCCCTCGATGTCCGCACTGAGCGGGCTCTGGCAGCTGCCATGGATGAGCTCATGAAAGGTGGGGCCAACTAGTCTCCCAGACGATGTGCAGCATGCAAAAGGTTTTATTGTGCGAGTTTCCTTTTCGGGTTCCCAGGACGCACTTGCCTGGTTGTGGCGCACCGGCTGGCAACTGTTCAGCGATGCGATGTCGTGGCCTTCCTCGAGGCTTTTTCTATTCGCACGACATCTCCCTATCTAATCCAAACATGATCGTCGAATGGTAGCAGCATGCCCCAACATGCTATGGATTCTCTGCACGAGCATGGGCGAGTTGCTGATTGAGCATTAGAAGTGCAGCTTTCGCACGATCCTGCGAAGCTCATCCAAACTGCAAGGGTGGAGTCATCCGCGAGCAAGGCCCTCACGAGGCGTCCTTGCGAAAGCTGCATCGTGTGGTCTGCAAAGCTTGGGTCATCACTTTCCTTGACAGGAACCAGAGGCTTTAGTATGTTTTTGTTCCTCTCGCAGGAGCTCCTGCAAAGGAGCGAGAAGTACAGGAGATTCTGGGAAGGAGCAGGGCTCTCAGTGTGTATTTGATTTTGCATGGTTTCTCTTTCCGGATGTTGCCGACTCCAACGCTGAGGTGCCTGCTGAAGCTTGAGTCCGCATTGCAAGCGAGAAAAGACGCTGCAATCTTCTTCCATGCTGCGGAGCTTCGAAACCTTGGGGTGATTGATTGTAGGCAGCCATTGGACTACTAGCCTTCAAGCATGGCAGCCTGCAGAGATCTACAGAGCATACAACATCCTGCAACTGCAATTGGTTATGCTACGCAGTGCTCCTTCACCAGAAGGCAAATAAGGTCATGATGGAGTACCCTAACCATTGTGAAATCACGGAAACGCAAGCAACCCTGTCCTTCGGCGTCCTCGCGCCGAAGCAGGACCGTCCTGACGGCTGCTTGATTTGCTGATGTCGGGCCGATGTCGCCACATCCGGCCAATCCACATGCCTTTGAGGATGCAGCCAAAGCTGCTGCAACTTGTTCAACTGCTGCTCCTGCTGCATGTCAAGGGAGAGGTGCAGCATGCTCTGTGTACCGTTGCATGAGTGTCTCGAGTTGAGACGCTACTACTCGTAGTACTACCAGAGCCACATGTGCAGGCAGAGTGCTCGGCGACAGCGGACACCTGGACCGTCGAGCTGTGGGGTTCTTTAGGGTGTCGGATGTCGAATGCGAAGCGTTCAGGAGGCCGCTGCTGAGAGATCCCAGGCCAAAAGCGCAGCTAGCTGACCTCATCGGTCTCGAGGAAGCGAAGGCGCTTGCTCAACTAAGCATCTCAAGCTTCTGGATAAGTGCTCGGATGGGGTTACCGCTTGCTCTTTCCAGTAGAAGGCGGTGCTGCGAGAGGCAGTTACGTTGCCACTGCAACTGGCTGGCTACCCGAGCTGCCTGTGCTGAATCAACGCAAGCTTGCCAAAGCAAGCTGTAACTTTGAGGCAGACGTCGGCAGCATCTTCTGGCGCTCCGCCGAGTCCGGCCCTCACCAGCGCGCTGGGGCCCGCTGGGGTTGCGCATCCCAACGTGCGGCTTTCGCCAAGGCGGAGTGCCGTGCTGCTTTCCGGCCCGGAAGGGATTGGCAAAAGAGCTGCGGCAGAAGCAGCGGCAGCATTGGCCGGCGCCCAGGCCAGGGGCTCCGTTCACGTAAAAAAGGGATGTTTTAAAACTTAGTTGGAAACGGCCGCATTGCTATTCCTTTTCGTTGTCAGTCCTAGTCTCGTCAATATCTTCTCGTAGTACTCCTTTATTGCTGGTTCTGCTGCTGATGGTGGTGAGGATGATCGAAGGTGTCTGTATCAATGTCCTTGCATTGATATGTGTACCCAGTCCATACCCGCATCAATCTCTGCATCTGGATACTCAATCCCCTCCTAATGCTAGTGCCTTTAGCAGGTGTTGCACCTGGCGGCAACTGATGCCGTCAAAACAGCCTTCTGCAGGACATCAGTGAGCCATGTTTGGTGCCCCCACTCGCTGGTCCCTCGTGGACTGCTCTCAAGGACAGCAACATCCAAAGCTGATGCTTCCCAGAAGCCTGTCCTCATACTCGTCGAAGGGCTCGCTGGGCCCTCAGCCATCCTTCGATTAGAGACGTAGCCAAGACCTATATCCCTTGAATGCAACCTGCACTTGCAGGAGTTCGCCCCCGAAGCTGCACTGTCGATTCGGCGCTGCCTCGCAGAGGCTCCTTACCGGGCTAGGTCGGTGACCTGCTCCGATTTGCAGTTGCGAGGGAATTGTCAGCCAGTTCAGGCCAGTTTTGTTTCTCCCTGGACGCAAGCGATCTGTCGGTCAGGTGGCCAGAGCTGAGGGCTCGCAGCGAGTTGCATGCGTGGCAACTGCCGGCGCAATCCCTGGACTTCAGTGCAACTTTCTGGAACTGTAGCACACTGTAGCATGGTGCTGAAGGCTCCGACCCAAGCCAGTTTCTTCGGGCGATCGAGTGAGCCCGTTAGACCCGCAACCTACTTGTAGCGAATGGGAGTGTCGTGACGCTCTTTTCGAGGCTGTTTCCATTTGGCTTCATGGTGCAAATTTCACCGCCTAGCCAGGCACTCTCGCGCTGGCTTCTTGAATCTCGAGTGTGGTTCGACAGAATTTCGCAGACCGCCGACCCTGAAGGCAGAGCGCAAGCAGTTTCTCTTGAAGCTCTTCGCACAGGCTCTTGCCAGCATTTGATGCATCTGATGTGGTCACTTGGGTTTAGGGCTCAACCCAAAAGCCTGCCTTTTTCCCGTGCTTTGTGGCCAGGTCTCCAGATCCGATGCCCAATGGGGATCGGCGTTGCGAGAAGCTGTCGACCTGTCGGCGCTTGCGACCAGGGTTCCAGGATCCTAGTCACGATCGCAGCGCGAACTACAAGATCAGGCAAGCAAAAATCATAGTACTGCTTGAAGTGATAGTAAAGCTCCTGGCCATCATCTGATCCCCTGGCAGCCTAATTGCGTGGCCAGGCTGTCGACACGTTAGCAAGTCGGAGCCTCAATGTCACTGCCTGCCTTCACTGTACCCTTCCCCTCGAGTCCGGAACATATCCGTCGAGGAAATGGCAAAGTCCCTTTCAACTGTCAACCCCCAAGCACGGAATCAGAAATCTTGCCATCTCCAGAGGTAAATCTATGCAATTTCTGAAGGCTTCGGGGGGACATCTTCTAAAAGAGCCGTGGTAGAACCGGGCCTTGGCGTAGCTTGCCAGAGCCACCAAGATCTTACCGCCAACTACACCTTTGCAGAGATAGACTTCGTTGTCCGTCGAGCATTCCTTCGAAGTACTCAAGAGGAGGACGGGCTTGCCAGCTTGTTTATCACCATTGGCCGAGCTTGTGCTGAGTGCAGTGAGAGTCGGCGTCAGGGCTCACGAGATCCAGTCGCACTACATCACTTTGAAAAGATCTTAGCAGCTCTCACCTCAAACCACCGACGTGAGGCCTTGGCCATCGCTGTTTCTTGTCCCGACCGAGGAGACGCCACCACAGAGCTTCAGCGCCTTTGAGCAGGGCACATCCAGTCGCGCCTTGGTAGCGTCATGCGCAGGAGTGCTGCTTTGCTTAAACACAGAACAATGCAAGGCATGGCACCCGTGACCAGTCCTGCGATGGGTGCTGGCTCTGTCCTTAAATGTCCAGAATCCAGATTACTATCCACACTTGCAGGTAGAACACATAGATCAGAACATGGAGAGCATAGATCGATAGAGAAGCAGAGGCAGATTCGGGCAAAATAAGGTGAAGAGCCGCCCTCGAAGAAGGATTCCGATGGCAAGCAGGGCACCGAGGAAGTCTGAGAGCCAGCGGCAACAACTAGCCAATCTTGTTATGTATATATATATATACACATATTATGTTCATTCATGAGGGTGTATATATATATATATAAACATAGGTAGATCTTCAGGCGGAAGAAGAGGGAAGGTGGCAAGGATCCCATGGAGAGCATCTTCGGCTGGCCGGGGACCTGATCGACTGCGGCAGGTTTTGTGCTATGTACTATGCTATATAATAATGTAAGTATAATACCATAACGTACTATCATTTAGTATAATACATTATAATGTCTATTCAGGTGTCGGACTTGGATGTTGCGTGTTTTTGCGATGTCTGAGGTGTAATTTCTGGTTGCCCGAAGCCTTTCATCTTCCTCCCGTCGTGCTGCCCCGAGTACTTCTGACTGACGTGTGGGATCCTGTGCGCTTCGGCCGTGTGAATAGCCTTGACTTTTTCCAGATATGGGCAATGGTGATCTTTGGTATCATGGCCCACCTGATGGCCAGGACTACGTGCGCATGGCTATAAGAAACAGGTGTCGGAGAATGTCGGCCATGCCGGCTTGCGGCATACGATGAGGTACCAGCCATACAACAACCGTCGGCGACGCAACGTTCCCAGAGTGGACTCGAGCAAAACCCTGCTTCTCACCTGACCGCATCAAGGCGGCACTGAAAGGGGTGGTGGTATGGGTGGTCGCAGCTCCCTTTTCGGTGCCTCAGATGAGCATGGCTGATTCGAGGGTGGCAGGGAGGGTGGTTGTGGAGTTGCACAGTGGTCTCCGAGCCTAGGTGATCTGAAGGGCAATCCGCCGCTGCCTGAGATGGCGTTGTACTCTTGTCTTCCGTGAGATGGCGTCCTCAGAAGCTTCTACCCGAGCATGCATAGTTGGAGAGTCTTGCACTCTTGCCGTGGAAGGTACGGACCAATGGGTGAGGGTCTCGGAGATTGGCCTCTCGGAGGAATGGGAGGAATGCCTGGCATGGGCGGCATGGGAGGTTTGGGAGGTCGGTGCCTCAGGCCGGATGTGTTGCATCTGCCTCAAGACTTCTAGCTGATATTTAGGTTTGGGCGGCTTCCCTACACCGCCTGGGTTCGGTCCCGACCTTGAGGGGAGCTTCCCTGTTGCCGTTTGCTTGCCCTCGCGCGAGTCTGTGGTATGCTCGGCATGATCATGAGCACCGCGGCCTTCGCAGCGCTTAGCTCAAGCGTCCTTTAGGGACGGCTTGTTGCAATGGGAAACGAAGCTTCCACTGGAAATGTGACGTCCGCTCTGAAAGCAACCAAGAGGCCCGAGCTGGCAGGGACCAGTTGAGGATGAGATAGCATCCAAAGGCAAGTCTTGGTCATATGGACAGGTCAAGCAACTTGCTGCTGGCCGGCTGGCAAAAGAGAAAGTTGCCGTTCTGCTCTCAGATCGTCGCTCTTAGTCGTGCTGGACTTGCCAGTGTTTGGGCCACATTGCCCTGCAGTCTAAGGCAGTCTAATGCCATGTTGGTATGTCTCACTTTGCTTCACTTTTTCTTGCGTTTGCTGCTTTCATAGGTTGCAAGCGGGCAAATTCCAGCAGTGTGTTGATTGTAGTGTTGATCGCACGTTATCCCATGGTCGTAAGCATACTGCTGCCTGCTGATAGTATGGCAGTTGACATGTCATGTCCTAGCAGTGAAACCCTTCGCCTATAAATATTGTACATGTATACATGAACATCTCTCTCTCTATCTCACACCCTGTATACCTTTGTATAGGTCGTGTAACGCCTGCAGATTGCGCGGCATATAGTACAATAAAGTATGATATCTGAACAGCCCAGAAAGCAGTATATGATATGGTTACAGCTACAATGTACATATCTGTGTATGTGAAGTATCTACACATGCTTCCGCACTATGCTTGTTACAGTTGCCTGTTTATGTATGAACATATGCCTGTGCCTATGTCCATGTCTCTGTCTCTGCATGCATATAGTGTTTGAACTTGTCTGACCATGGGCTCCTGTAGAACTTCGATCGTGTCACTTGTCCCAGCGGGTTTGCACAAGGACACAACTCTTCGCAGTGGTTCGGCATACGGAGCGCGCCGACGGAGTCTTCGCCTTCTGGGAGAACGGCAGATGGTCGAGCTCAGAAGACTGCAGGAGGCGAGGCAGGAAGTTTGGTCTCCTTCCGTCCTTCCTCTTCCTGTGAGTCTCGGTTTAGCCCAGGTTCCCTCTGGATCCGCCGCTCAGTGACGCGGGTCACGAGCAGGTGTAGTTCTTGTTACCCTTTCTCCCTACAACGAGAGTCAGAGATGCTTGGGCGCCTGCAGGCGGAAGTGCTGGGAGTTGACATTCGGCAATTTGCCGAGCAGACTTTTGGCTCTGCACTGGCGCAGCACGAACATGTCAGACAGCCTTCGGTGCTCCATACATGCAGGGGTGTGTGTGTGTGTGTGACCTTAGCCTTTATGCCATTTTGAATTGTCAGGAAAGGCACCGACTTCCACGTGGTCGTGTGCTCGCCGTATTCGCGGTGTGTTCAGACGGCGGTGAAGATATGCCAGCATCTAGGATCTCGCCCTTGCACGACTGTGCACAGATTCTGATGCATGCTGAGTTGACCGCTGCCACGCTGACGATCCTGCATGCCTAGCCACGATACTACGATTAAAGAGGGCGTTAGACTTGGCTGCCGTAGACTACGTTGGGCGCAGCTTTGCGCAGGCGTGCTGAGCCATACCCAACAAGCTATGTCTCGCCCCCCCCTCTTTCCCACTTGCTTACCACTTCATGTGGGGCTGCCAAACTCTACTCTCGCTTACTCACAGTGAAGTTTGTGCGAGTACGTTTGAGCTTTGCATAGGGCCGCCCACAAGCGTACTTCATGCTGGCAGGACCGAAGGCCAAGATGCTGATCGACCACTCCCTGGGTGAAATCTATGGCCCGTCCGTGATGGGGGAGGCTGGCTGAGCTGCCCGTGAGGAGCTGCTAGGGCTTAAGGTTTTGGTAGGTGGGGACACTCATGTCTGCCAGACTGGGATGCAGGCACAACCTCGTGATCACCTCCGAGCTTTCACCGTGGCTGTCGCCAGACTGCAAGAGGAGTGTGAGGAGATGTGCGGAGCTTCTGAGACTGTACATGGCAGAACTGAGGTAGACTACTGCAGAGCTCACGACGTCCCCGTCGTGACCAGGGCAGTCGGGCAAAAACCGGTCGGAATCCTAGGACTGCCTCAGAAGCAAGCTTAAGCCAGGTCTGTCTTGACTTAGTACCTGGCGATTGCAGCATCGTACAGCCAAGGTGTGGCCGGAATCACTGCAAGATGCGCGTCGGAGATTTGCATTACGCTTTCTGCAGTATCTGCAACGCGGAGCTGTGGCCAAGCGCCCGTGTCTGCAATTGCATGGCCCGTCACAGCAGGCTGAGCTGAAGATCAGGGAATACTTGGAAGACCTGCCTCCCAGGGCTCGGCATCCTGCCAACAAAAACTCACAACCCTCCTTGCATAGGTTTTGCAGGGTTGCAGAGTAGGTCGGAAGAAGTGGCGCGCCAGCGTTTCAGAACATTCAATTGGCTGAAAGAAGTCTCTGCAAGGCGAAATTTTCTAATCGTTACGCACGGCGACTGCATTGGATCCGTCATGAGCATCATGCCGGACCGATTGTACGCCATTGGAGAGTCACCTGCGAATTTGCACCAGTGGAGTTGTGCGAAGATATCACGAACTGTAGCCTCGCAGCGAGGAGCAGCAGGATCTGCTGGTCGAAAAGGCAGGCAGATCATCTTGCAAATCAGAGCTTCCTTTTTGTGCTCAGTCAGGTGGAATACGGTGCCACGATTCTGGCATCTAGGCAGGCCGTTCAGAGACTGCCAGCTCCGACGCCGAAGCAAACCGCGCCTCGCGCTCCTTGGCTCGCCTTGATGACCTTTATGACTGATGCAGATGTCACTTTCAGTGTCACTGAGCTTCCCGAGGCAAAGGGCATGGCCTCCGTAATGCCTATGTCAGCGGAGGCTCTCTTGGCAGAACCGGCACTCAGAACAATCCTTCCGACAGTTTGTCTCTGCGAGGAAGAAGTCGTGGTCGAGGGCTGCTCGACTTGCAATTTTGCCCCGTCAGCATGTGGATTCAGCATCTCTGCTGTTTCATGTCTTCGCGTGAGTGAATGTGCACCCATATAAATCGAGTAGGAATCGGAGACGGTGACTTTTGAGAATACGTTTTGGCGGCCGTGGCCGCTCTGGGGCTTTGCCTTAGCTTTGGGTGAATTTTCTGGGCTCTGTCCCACAGCTAGTTGTCGGGGTCGTAGTGGTGCATAATATCATGACGACAGAGCAGCGCTTCTTGGCATGCTAGTTTTAGATGCTCAGGCGCCGGTGACTTTCGTCTTCAGGCCTGCTGTCAAACTTGTGGCTCGCGAGCTTCTCATGAAACGAGTGGGAGTCGAAGGACGGATTGGAGCACATAGCCGAGGGCCTCGAGGACACTTCCTGTCTGTACAGTTCTTTGAAACACTGGGTTTCACAGCCGCAGATAGCCGGCAGTGCGACTGCATAGCCTTCGGGGTGCTAGGTAACTGTTGAAGACAGAGAACAGGACCACTACCAGAGAGCATGTTGGGAACGGCCACGGTGGCCCAACAAAGGGAGGATGATGGCGGTTGAGCCTCACTTTCGCAAATATGCTTTGCAGCTGACCCGGTCAATGTGGGGGCCGACAGTGCCTGTGCTGGTAGACACCCGCGCGGCTGTGGAATGCCGTGGCCCATGTTTGTTCAGGGGTGCAACATCAGAGTGCCAGGGGAACCGTTTTCAACAGGCCGGCAACACCCAAACACCGGTCACCAGTAGTGCACCAATGTCAGTGTGAAGCTGCTTCTCTGCTTCCTGGCAGGACACCGAAGGTTCTGGTCAGCGGGAGCCCGACAAGTGGGCCAGAACCCCAGCATGCTCCAGCGAGCCCCACAGGCTCAGGGCCCTGACCCAACCAAGGCCATACCTGCCGATGCAGACAAGGCCGGCCCGGAGGTAAACAAGCTGACGCAGAAGGCACCCGACTTGCACGCTTGTGCCCCTGTGATCACCAGCGTGATCCTACTGGACCCTGGTAAGGTCATGACTGGCTGGAACTGCGAGACGATTCACATCTCCGTCCGCCATAAAAAGAGCTCCTCGACAAGACATGTGCAGCAAGACACTGAGAGATCGCCAGCTGCTTGGCGCAAAGTCTCAGGCAAGGGGTCCAAACTGGCCAAGCGACTCACAGCGCTCGTCGAGCAGCTCGCCTTGACTATCGACATAGATTGTAAACCCTGTCACATGTAGGTAATAGTGTTCACGGGAGGTCAGGGCCGTTCTCCATGCAGAAAGTGGAGAAGCTCTTGGGTGCTATTCCACAGACACCCCTTGGCGACAGCACGCCGCTTCCGTCGACTCCTGCCGCTTGGCTGGTAGATGCGGTGGAAAGCCAAATTCCTGCTGTTTTATCTCGATGCACGTTTGAGGCAAACCATAGTCGCCGTCTTAGTCCCATCATGCAGAAGGGCCAGGGCCATCACGGACGATGCACGCGGAAGCGAGCAGGTACAACGCTTTCGGTGCAGTCCGGGCTCTCTGCATCCACGTATCTCTTTGGTGGCTCGCAGCTCGACTCCGAGGACACTGGCCATGTTAGATCGATTTCGTCCCATGCACTCTGACATCTGAAGCTCCAGGACTTCAACCCCTTCGTGCCACCGAGCCGGCTTCCTAGAGGAAGCCGAAGCCGACGCATCAGGTTTGGAGGTCTCCTCATCCAAAGCTCAGCAGCTGAGGTCCTGATGCAGTCGGCCAGAATCAGCGAGCTTTGCCTGCACCGCCTTTACATGGGTAGTTGTCAAAATTATGGTCCCTTTTGAGGGTATTGTAGTAAGGACCCAAAAAGGGACCATAATTTTGACAACCACCCACATGGGAGGGTTCCAGGTCGCTCCTCGACTCGTGCTTGGTGAACATGTGCCCTTGGCTGAGGTGTGCTCAGTTCTCAGCTGGACCCTGGCTTTCTGCCTTCTGCGTTGAAGTGGCCTGCGTCAGCTTAGCTTCTCAAATCTTGTTGGTGGCATTCTGAAACTCGAGATCTTTCGAAAGCTTCTGACCGAAGAGACCAGCAGGACTTCCAGAAACGCAAGATGGAAATGTCCCACATGTCGCAGAGATCGGCCTCCGCAGTGGACAAGCGACTGATCCTAAAGCTGGTCTGCCTCTGCTCTCGTAGGTCGCCGCTTTCCGGCGCGCTCAGCTGAGGTTGTCCATGAAGCACTACTTGAATCCATTGGAGGGTGTCGAAGAAGGTCTGGAAAGGAGTCCATCAAAGCCCGCCGGAAAGGCATCTGTCAGCGAGCTCAACAGCTAAGTAGCACAACCAGATGCCATTTGGAGCGCCCGGCCGTGCAGGCAGATGCAGTCGAGCCATCCGAGCCTGAGCGAAAGGCGGGGTGGGAAGGGAAGGCATCGCTTCCGTCCAAAACATCGGTTTGGAGAATCGCCTCTGCAGGTGTCTTCGCCCAGCCTTATCTTAGATGGGAGGATCAGTTGGATCCTCAGAAAATGGCACGTGCAAGTCGTCGGCCAATTGGCACGTTATGGTGTCAACAGTGGAATCCGCCTTCGCCGCTTAGGTGACGGCCCTTATTCGGATGAAGGTCGCTTGTCTCCCCGACAGATCCCGATTCCACGACACCAGCCTTGATGTGAGCCTTGATGTGGTTTGGTGCATCCGCCACACTGAGGCAGCCATGTTAGTCTGATGAGCCGGGAAGAAGGGCCTGGGAAGCCCAGCGCACAGTCTCCAAAGCTGCCCAGCCCTGTCGTGGCTGTCAAGCCCCTGAATTCCTCAAGAGCCACTTGCCTTGACAAGCGCACGCAGCAGCAGCCAAAGTGTTTGAACCTCGAGCTCGTCTGACGTGAGGATACGACCCTTACAGCCGCTTCGGCGGCACCCTCGCCTGTGCCAAAGCCCGAGGAGCCCAAGAAGAACTTCGGCGCTCCAGGACCGAAAAGAGCCCAGAGCTGTTTCCTTGTCTAGCCGCCTAGCCTTGAAGCTCAGGAGGCTCCAGTCTGCTAGCCCGAAGACGAGCAAGTCTGGGCATCAAACCCCTTGGTCAGTGAAGAGACTGTGAAGCTTCAGATCAGCAGAAAGTCGCATTTCCAGCCGCGGAGCTGTACATCTCCGTGTCGTACAGAGTTTCGATTCAAGCAGTTTCAAGCCTTCCTGTTTCGACCAGCGGCCGGTGGATGTGTTCTGTCGCGTGTGATGAGTTAGTGTCGAAGCCACTGGTCTGGTTGAAGCTGGAAGAATCAGCCCTGCCTGACTGGCCTACGCTGTCGCTCGGGTCGGCGACTACAATCATCCGCAAGGTTTCGTCTACAACACTCTCTGGTTTTGCATCAATAACTTATTAACTTTAAGACCTCGCTGAGCACTTTGTGGGCTGATGCCCCCTCGCTTGATTGGCATGACGGCGCGGTCGCCTATCACAGCGTTGCGTCGTGTGCTGCTCTCCAAAGGTCTATTTTGCAACAGCACCATCTAGTAGCTAACATCGAGACGCCATGGCAGTCTTCACGACGCAGAGGCCGTGTACAGACATTGGAGGAAGCGTAGTAAGACAAGAACGATAACGACATGCAGTGGATTCCTGCTGCCAGAACCCAAGTTGCGTTTTTGCGCTGGGTACCTTACGCCTTTTTTATGCCTTTATTCTCTGGGCTGTGTCGGACTCGCCACGACAATGTGACATGGTGTAGTTTGAGTCGTCGGTTCTGTTGCCACAGCTAACTCTCCTGATCGGGGACGAGCTCGACACCAGCAGATGCTAGCGTTTTGTGTTTTGCTGCAATCTGACGTTGAATTCAATACTGAGGTTGGCTGCACTTGTACAGCATTTCCCTTCCTCTGTGCACGTGCAGCTTGGCATGTCTGAGGTGCACTGCATGATCTAGTGGAACAGCGAGACGAAACCACACGATCTGGATTAGAAATCCAGCGCTCATCCGACTTAAGTTGCAATATTCGGTGTCTTCCCTCACGGATATTCCGAGTACGTTGGTGATTCCAACTACAGGCTGTGCCGGGCAGTTTACACTCTCGATGCTGCTGTCTCGAATCCGGACACGCGCTCGATGACACTGCCTTGCACTAGACGTCGGCTGCCGTATTCTGCAGCTGGCCATATCCAAGATGCGAAGACCAGGTGGTGTGGACTGGGGCAAAGAGGTAGAACACCCGCTTCAGCTCAGAGATCGGTAAGAGTGAAACAAGGCGCTGAACCTGGCCTGTGGCCTTAGATCCCCCGACCTTTGCATGGCTCTGAGGGCCTGGTGGCGAACCGAGCGGCGCCACGAGCCAGGATCCTAAAGCACTACTCAGCCCGGCTGGTTCTTTGGCCTAAGCCGCCTTGCAGGTGGCACCGGTGCAGCATCCGGCAAGGCATGTGCGTTGGCATCTCAAGGACGAGCTCAACTGCTGTTTTTGCATCCCCTGTAGGCAGCTGGTGGCGAGGCAGAAAAACCCTGTGCCCAAAGTGGTGCAGACGAGTTGTGGACTTAGTGACAAGATTCGAGCTTGTTGGCCTCTCATTCAGGGAGAGGCTGGCCCTTGTCGTGCCAGCGTGCAAGTTGTTCCGAAGCCAACGATTGCCGGCCATCATCAGGTCATAACTGCGTCATTCACGATGCTGAATGGTGCGGCATCGAGCGAAAATCGGAGCAAGTGAGTACAACTATTGCATGAGCCGACAGCGTGCAATTACTTGTGGATGTGGTTCAGGGACATTCAGCTGGATGCGGCAAGTGTCTTGTCTTCGCCATTCAATCTCGCAGCGTCTATAATCAGGGAGGGTGGGTGGCATGCTGGCATGCGGGTTTGGCGTTGATGCCGCTGGCACCGCCGCTGGCTCGGAGACTCTTCGGTACCGTGTGCACGACATGCCGAGAGTCTCGTGCGCCTTCAAGGCCTGCTGTGGCACAGCGCGTGCTACTGGCACACCATGGAGGCGGGAAGCCAAGCCACGCTGTGTCTCGCTGCGTCGACGAGACTGGTGGCTGTGGCAAGGCATTGGATGTCGATCGCATCCTCGGTCAGCTACTAGAGGACCGGGTCTCAAACATGGGCTTTCTCTCCCCGTCCTTGCACCCATCAGGTGCGGCACACCAGACCGCTCAAGCTAGTCCAGCTGACAGAAGTAGAGATCAGCAGTCTGTGCTGCTTGGATGCAAGGCGGTAGCCACCTTGCCTGCCACGCTCTACTCGTGATCTCTCAGCTTTGCCAGCTCAGGCTTCCTCGCCCGAGAGGTCTTCATGGACCAGTTGCAACCTTATACTACAGACTTCCAGTTGTAGACTCGCTGCTGCTCCATGATGCAATAATAAATAATGGTAATTAACAATATTAATGAATAATAATAATAGCAATAATAATTAATAATACTAATAATAATAATAGTCAGATACCACTGCAGGCCGATTCTGCTTGAGCTGGGCTGTCCCCTCAAGATTTGTGGTGATGTGCACGGACAGTCGAGCTGGCATGTGCTTAAGCCTTACGCTTACGCGCCTTGATCATTGACGTGCTGCAAAATTCACCTGTTTCGCTTATCTGTTCTACATCACGCCGGGACTGGGCTCTGGGTGGCCGTAGTCCGAAACTCGGTTTATCAGGTCTGAGTTCGGGGACTTGGGGCCCTCTCACAAGCGTGAGACTTGCAAAAGATGCATACGCACACATGAACATCATAGTCATAGTTGCCGCATACAGCTGCAACCATGGAGTCATGGAGACATGCATGCCTCCGACAAAATTGTTTCGTTACACGGCAATCATGTGCGTCGGCATCGTTGCAGGTATTCTGACTTGCTGAAGCTGTTCGAATGTGGTGGCTTCCCGCCAGAGGCGATGCGTTGGAATGAGATTCGAAGATAACACTAGAGCATTGTCCTGAAGGCGAACTACCTCTTCTTGGGAGACTACGTGGACAGGGGCAAGCAAAGTCTAGAGACCATCTGCTGCCTCCTGGCATACAAGGCCACATGCCTTGTTGTTCTTGTGAGACACACGTTTTAAGACGACTTGCTTGACTCTGGTTCGAGCACTGGTGCTCAAGTCGAGCAGCCTCTGAGTCAGAAGAAGTTCTATGTGAGCTCATGTGTTTTGGCTGCTTTCTGGCCGTCGCGCCCTTCGACATTACCTTTATCAGCGGACCAGGACAGAGGCAGCATTGTCTCTTGTAGCTCGCCCCAGGTTGTGTTTGTTAAGCCCTAACTAGACTTGTGGGCGATTGTTTGCCCCAGAACTTGGTCCAATTCTGTTATCGTGCACCCCAATGGCATGCCTCGTCGCTCTGTGACGTGCCGCGGCAACGAAGCGCAAAGACGTTTCTCAGCTGCCTTGCTTGCGGAATTTGGGTGTCAGCCTTTGGGGGATGTCGCTTTGAAGAGCAGCCTCCATGCTTCTGAGGCTTGGAGCCGGTTGACCTCGAAGACCCCAACGGCCTTGCCAGAAAGCTGGCAGATGCGCTCCTGCAGGCGCAGGTAGAGGACCTAACGCAACGAGGAGCGAGCTTCGAGTGTCCGGGAGCGCATGCTACGCTGTTGCCCCTCCTTGCAGTCCCTTGCCCCCACCTCCCAATCATTGCAGGACACAGAGCTCTGCCCCTTTGTACAGCGCGTTGTTCTGTGGAGACCCTGCATTCCAATGCAGAGACTTGGTTGAAGCCCCAAGCAGCCAAGCATGAAGGAATAAAGAGCTTAGAGCTTACAGAGAGGCCGTGCTCACAAGCGCATGAAAGCAAGGCCTTCGTCGTCGTCGATATTGTGACGAACTACGACTTCTCCAAGCTCTGCAGCTCCTAAGCCCGTCCAGCATCTCATGTCCATGGTCCCCGGAATCAGACATACACGCACAGTCACTGGTAGTGATCTCATGCGGGGCTAGCCTTGTGTTACGTCGTCTTTTTGCCTGCTGTTTCCGCAGCCTGATATCTGCAGGGGAGAGTCTACCGAGACTTAAGTAGGTAGTACATGTTGAGGATGAAGATTCAGAGGTCTCGAGGTGGATGAGAAGAACGCCCAGCAGTTTGTTGAACAGCTGGGGCCGGGCAAGCGGCCGCTTTGGGCTGTGCCTGTTCTCCTCAGGCAACGCACTTGCTCTGCAATGTTTCGGAGAGTTTGGCACACTTCTGTTTCATGAATTCATGAAATTTGAATGTTAGTGTGAGTGCGGACACAGACAGACTCTTACTTAAGTTGTTGCATAGCGAGCCACAGCCAACGCACGAATGCTGTTTGGTTTATGGCCTTTACACAAAGGTAGTCGGCAGATGCTTGCAGAGTCATGAGGATTCTTTAGGTTTTGTCATGTTGCTGAAGTCGACGCTGATGCGCCCGTGGATGCTGATTGCAGTACTAGACGAGGAACAAGCAGATGCAGCACGACCATATCCACATTCAGCATCATGATATCATCGTTTCTATTTTGGTAGGTCGCATCAGTTATGTTGTATATGTTTGATTGCCGACATCATTTCCAGTTCTGCTGTCACTATCTTTAGCCCGTGTTTAGCTTTGCAGGGTACCCACACAAAACCCCGGAGCCTTAGCCAAAATTCGCGCACGGGGCGGGGATGCGTGTTACGTACGTGGCACTCGCGAGCATTGGCCCTAGATATCCCCCTGCGATTCCAGGCCAAAGGGTGCAGAGCTCGTCATGGCTTCCTGGCAGCACCAAGGCGCTGTCGCTGTCCTGAAACAAAGGGAAGGTGAGATCTCAGAATGCCACCACAAGGTATTCTCCTGTGTTCTACGGGAGTGTGGGTCGATCAGACAAGCTGCCATGACCTCAGCGTTCCCCGGTGTCCGAACTGTCTCAGACATGCTCACTTGCTGGGCGGTGGAGAGGCTGCTGGCTCGCCTGTTGCGGATCTTAAGCACTGGTCCTTGCGGAACTCCCGCAGGGCACAGGCCGGAAGCCCCGGCTCGCAATCTGCTGGCGGCTTGGCCGAGAAGAGATGACGGCATCCTGCCAGGTGACCTTCTTCCAACATTCTGCAGCCAGTGCCACTTGCTTTCGAAGAGACCTCGGCCAGATGTTGGGAGTCTTGCTGTACTGGTCGGAAACCTGAACCTGAGCCTCCTACCTACAGTCCGACATGCAACATGTTGCCATATGTTGCCAATTCATATCAATTCATCTTGCAGCCTCTCCCTGTAGATGTATTGAGGGCCAATGCCTTGGTTGGGTTGGGTTTCCGAACGTTGCAGACGAAAAGCAATGCCAAGCTTCCCGGCGTTGCCCTGCAGTGCCTTCCGTGCTTCGTGATGTACAAAGCCAAGATAGGGACCGAGGCACGGGAGATGATCCTTGGCGGCCCCACAGAGGCAGCCGCGATGCTGGAAGTGCCCGTGGTGCTTGACGGGAGTACCTTGGACAGAAGGAGATCCAGCTTCGCTGTTCCCGGAGTTGTTCACTACTGGCAGGACGTGAAGGCTGCTTGACAGCTGGAGCCCAATATTAGATCGATACTGGGCAGAGCAACTGCCCAGGAGTGCCTAATTACGGTGGAATCGCTGCAAGAAGTCACGGTAGTATCACTTCATCTACGGTGCGCGCGGTGGGGGCATGTGGCTGCAGAAGTCCTGCACAGACCATCACAGACCTTGTGGCTTGCAAGCGATCCAAAAGAATCCAGGCACAACTCGGTCTTCTGTACGATGTTGTAGGAAGCAGCCCTTTCCACGGCCGTAAACTTTGCATTGCATTCTGCCTTCAACGAGGTCGACCCTACAGTCACTTTGGCACCCAGTAGCGCACTTGGGCTTCGCTACTCTAGCGACTCTAGCGCCACTTCCTGCCAACCACGTCCAATCATTTGAGATGAAGCCGAGGGCGGGGTTCCCAAGGTGGTAGCTTGCACAAATCTGCCAGTTGATTTTCTGCACCCATATTCAACGCAGGCTAGTTCCTTTGTTTATGGAACCGTCCCATGCCAAAGTCATACTATCCTCATTTCTCAGGTACAGATGCTGAGGCATGGCGACATGCACAAGAGAACCAGCGTGAGCTCCTGGCCGAGGCCTGACCTGTGGCCCTGTTACACCCTGACAGCTTTGGCTGCCATGCGCTACCTTGCTTCCATTGGCATGCAGTGCAGCTCTGTGCAGGAGGAGCTGCGGTCCAAGAAGGCGAAGCGAGCCGCCAAAGGTCAGCGGGAAGCTGCAGCCGCTGCCCGCAAGCACTGCTAAGCCGCTGCGCCATGTGGAGCTCATGCTGCTTTTGAGCTCGCCGATGAAGGGTGCATTAGGGTGCTATGTGCCACTTCACACCTACCCTCCAAGAACGTTGTAGGGTGCATCTCGTTTGACGCTGTGTGCCGAGGTTGTTGCCGCAGGCCCGCCGCATGAACCGGACGATAGCTGCACAGCTGCGGAAGAGACCAGAACCACGGATGGCTCGGAAGTGCTCAGTGCGCTCGAAGATCTGGAAGCACCTGCTGAAGCGGAAGAGGCAATTGTCAGTCTTGATGTCGTTCAGTGATATACATTGAGCCATCTCTCTTGGCAGGATGCTCTCGGTGGGGAGTGGCAAACGTGCACACGCAGACGGAAAATCCATCAGCAAGAACCTGACCCACTCCCAGCTGACCCGGCTGAGCCAGTGGAGCAC